CTTATAAACTCATAAATATTAATAAAGATCATGCGAGACTGCCGCACTTATAAAAAAAAAAAAAAAAAAAAAAAAAATCATTTTTGCACATCATTTTTAGGTGTAACAATATTTTAATAAAACTAATATATTTTTAGTATATATCTTTATATTGGCAAAGAAAAATATGAAACATTAGCTAAAGTTAACAAAATATTTGTTTTACAATTAGATAACTTAAAAAATAATGGAATAGTTGATGATGATGATACTTGTTAACCAGTTGAATTTTTTTTTCTAAAGATTGGAAATTTATATATATTATTATGGGTTTAAATACATCTAATTCAAAATATTTCTGTTTATTTTGTAAATGTGATTCTAAATCTTGCTATAATATAGATCTTTCTTGATCGCTTACTGAAAACATTAAAGATTTTATATAATTTAAAATATTTATTTATTTATTTTTAAATGTTTGTATTAAATTTATTACTATATTTTAATTAGGAAAAAAACCTATCTTTATTTTCTGTGATTGACTTATTTAATTATGTTTCTGATGAATTCCATATATTATTACAAATATCTGATATATTAATGAAATGTTTTTTTAAAGATTTATTTAAAAAAAATGATTTTGAACAAAATTTTAAGAGAAAAAAATGAATAAATTTCATATTCATTTTGAATTTTATCATATTAACTCTGATAAAAGTAATTGGAGTTAGATTTTACTAATGGGACCTGACAAAAAAAAAATGTTATAACATTTTCCTGTCAGTAAATTTATACCTGAAGCATATAGAATAGCTATTAAAAATTTATGACGTGAATTTTATCGATTATATAAAGTTTTAAGAAAATTATCTTATATTGAAGATAAAATTTTAAAGTTTGAAAAAGATGCAAAAGATTGGGTTAGAACTTTTTGCCAACCCACTATAGGTCAAATGAATTCTGCAGCAACAATCCTAGAACTTTATAGAAAAAAAGATGTTATTCTATATATATATATGTTTACAATACATATATCTTATTTTATACGTTAATTAAAAGAAATTCAACTTTTATTCAGACTATTTTTAACTAGTAGCATTGAAAAGAAAAACTATGATCAGGTATTTATATCATATTTAGTAAATTAAAATCTTCAAATTTTTAATTTTCAAAATGTTTAATTTATTAGGTTAAATTATTTTTTGACAGGCCTACAATAGGAGGTGATAAAAGAAATAAACCTGTTGTTTATGATATTTTAGTATTTGAAAATCAACTTTTTTATTTAATTAATAATATTTCAAATGAAATAACATATAAAAATATTAATATATAATAAAAAGCATTATTCTATTTTATTTATTTTATTTAAAAATTTATATAAATTAGGGATGAGGTAAAATATATCTATAGTGTGATCTAGTAAAATTTGATATACTATCTGCTGATAAAAATTTGTTATTTAATTAAGAATAAATAGGACAAGAAGAGGATTTATTACAAAAACTATCATATATTTTATGTAAATCATAATTACTACTAGATGATGATTCATATGAAGGTGATAAAAGATTTTCTTGACTGCAAATAAAACATAAAATTTAATTTAATATTTGAATAAAACTTGTAAAGTAAATTTAATTATATACTTAATTAACATATACTTATTTATAAACTCGTCAAAATTAGCAATGAAGTTAATTAACAATATTTCAGTTAAAAAAAGTCTACTGTTTTCCTTTTACTCTTTTTGTTTCTAACCAAATATTACCTTATATTAATCATCAATATCTTCAAATAAAATATATCCTCGAGTTGAGATACTTGCATTTTCACAAAAAATAATTTTATTATATCTAAATATGCTTTTTAAACTTTCTTCACCTATAACATCCTCAAAAATACATTGGTATTTTCATTGACTAGGTATATACCTAAAATTTTCTTCATTTTCAAATAAACACTTTCTAAAGATGTGTCAATTGTTATGTATTTCTTTCCAATTACATGTTTATTAAATCCAAGACTGTTTTTTAGACGAATTATTACTGTATCTCAATAATATAATAATGTTTTATTTGAAGGTTGACAAAGTATATGATAATGTGATACAATTTTATTATTTTTATATTTATTTCGTTTATGACTTTGAAGTTTTTTCTTGGTGTCATAAATTTTAAAGCATAGAAGATATGGAAAAGTATATGCAATAGATGTCATTTTAACGAAATTTTGAGTGTATTAAAAGTTTATAACAATTGTTTATTGATTAGTGGTATAATATGATATGTTATATGTTTTTATTAATGATTGATGATTGATTTTTTTACATGTGATATAAATGTGACATAACTAAAGTGAACTAAATTAGCCTATATGTACTTTTCATCAATTGTAATAACACAATGTGATATATTTACATTTTCTTTAATTTTTTTATATTAACAAAATTCGTGATTTTAATTGGTCAATCAACAATTACAGGGGGCAAAATTTGTATAGCTTGAATGGTCTCTCCTGATACATAAATGTAATATGTAAAAATATATCTATAAAAAGGTTAAGACCGATCGATCAATTAATTTATTTATCCTTTAAAATAAATTATTCAATTTAAAAATATAAGTAGTTAGAAAATAAATATAAAAAAAAATAACTTTATATAAAAAAAGGATAACTCTCAAACTTCATTATGCATAATGATATGGGATTCCTATTTTGATGAAATTTTACCTAAAAATTATCAGTTTTTAGATTTTATAAATATCATAAAGATTTCATATTTTCTTTTCAGAAAGGGATAAACAGATTACAAAAGAGTCTTAACCTTCTGATGATCATGAAAAATATATATTTTACAATAATAAGGCTAAAAGAAAGACTGATACTAAATCTGATTGATTGGATATTTTAGTTTTTGCTAAAAAATGTAGTATAATCAGAAAATTTTCATTGAAAATAAAAGTGCTTTCTTTAAAATTAGTTTTTTACAAACTTATAATATTAAATTAATTAACAGAATATAAGGAGAAAAGGTAATTTTGTTTTAAAGGTTCATTAAAAAAATGAATATTATATGTAGCAATTCTAAGATTAAGAAAAGGTGGAGTTTGAGAACTAGGTGTATTTGTATTATTAATTATAAGGATAGTATTCATAATAATTGAATAAAATATTATAGAAAGTTGCTAATGTAACATTCTGTTAATTTATCAAATTCTTTGTTTAGAAGTTTAAAAACATAAGAAGGTTTTTATTGATAAGTACAGTTTAAAAATCATGACAAGTTTTAAGTAATTTGTTAAGTAAAGGAATAAATTCAGAGATACATTATTATTTCTTTTAACAGATGAGTACAAATTATTTATTAGTATTTTTACAAATAGGCAATGCAAAGGAAAGTATCAATATGTGGTAATTTGTGGTTTACTTCAGTAACAGAGTCGACAAATTGTTATTAAAATCATCTACTTCAATAGAAGTGACAACCTTAATATAAAGAGTTTTCTCAATAACAGCTAATCTATTTTGTGAAAATTTGAATTAAATACAAAGATCACTAAGTGTGTTAGCAATAAATATAAGTTAAAAGATTACAAACTGTTTAAAATTTATGTTATAAATTAATCCACCTTTTGCTATACTATTATTTAGGTTGTGAGTAAAATAGACTTTAGATTCAAAGAAATCATCTATGGGTTCATCAGTTTAGTGCAATTTTGGCTTTACATTTGAAGTGTTAGGAGAAGAAGAAATAGAGTTTGATTTAAGTAGAGGAGGTGGTGGAGGTCTTCTCTTAGGTGTATTTTAAGAATTATTAGATTGCTACGAGAGTTTAGTCACATGAGCAAAGGTGATATTATCATGAACAAAACCTCTTATAGGACTACATTTAGGTACAGTATAATTAGTAAATTAAGCAGGTTAAAATTTTTAGTATAAATTTTACATGTTATGATCTTTCAGTGTCTGATAACATTTGGGATAAAAAGAGGCATTATGATATGTTGATAAATAAATGATGCAAAGTTTACTTTTAGGTCAATCTATTTAAGTTTTTTATTATTCAAGATTAAATTCTTTATATTCATAATAGCTTTGGTATCTTTTTTATTAAGAAAATAAAAGAAGGCATACTGTAAGTAATTATAGTTGAAATATGCTCTAGGAATAATTCAGACAGTAGCAAAAATTATATTTCTAATATCCTAGAGGTTATGTAATATAATATTTTTAGAAAAGTTGATTAGTTTATCTGAATGAGCTAAAAAAGCTTGAATATCTGTTCTGAAAAGATTACAGGGATAATAATAGATCATGTCATTTAAAAGGTAGATTCTGTCACCTTTTTTAATTCTACAAAATTTGTTTGATCATTAAAGGTGATTGTAGCTTTTTACTATAGGTTCCTTACATCTATTGAGAACAAATGATATTACCAAATTTGAAGAAAAGTTTACGTAATCTAGTTTCAGTAGCATTTAAAGGAATTTCTATGACTGTAATTTATAGATCAGGTACATAAAGTACAGATTTTTTAATATTTATTGATTGAAACATGATATTATTTATATCAGAAAATTTGAAAATGCAGAATGCATCACATTTAATTTTGTCAATAAAGGTAACTTTGATGATTGATTAATTCTAATCAATAGATTCTTTTCTCTTGAAGCATTGATGAATGAGTTATATTTATTGTAACATAAATCTGTGATCTTTAAGATTTTCATTTAGAGGTGAGGTCTAGAGAATTTTTCTAAAGAAATATATATAAAAATTTGACGACTTGAGTTGAAAATACTTCAAAACTAAAGGCTAAAGTATTTAAAATATTTTTTGACGTATCAAAAGACTTATTGATGCTTATAATAATTTTCTATATAGTGTTTTCTAGTATAAAGGTTTTAAAACCTTTTTCTTTATCAAAATTATTAGTTAGACTTTCTGTAACAGGATCAACTTCCATGGTATTAATGTTTTTATAGAATAGGTTCAATAAACTAGTAGGTAACTCTAGAATGAGTTTATTATCTAAAGTTTGAGTGGTGTTTTATTTTTTGATTGATATTTTATTATTAATAGGTAATGCAAAGTAATCACGATTAGTGTTCTTTCTTCTAATATTTCTTGACATTTTGTGAATTAGCAAAAAGAATTTTTTTTTTTATTATTATTATTATTAATTATAATATTTACCTTAAAGATCTGCTTCTCAATTAATAAAAAAATAAAAACAATTAAATTACAGTACTATAATTAAAATAAAAAAATAAATCAAATAAAATAAATATAAATAAAAATTGATGTCTAATCATTCATTTTAAATGATATTTTATCATTTATTTTGAATAATATTAAATTATTTCATTTTTGATTTTTATTATTTTAATTAAATAATTTATTTTATTTAATTAGAATGATTTTACTGATCTGACCTAAATTTTTAATTTAAATAAATCAGATTAGAATAGATTATCTAATCTGTCTAATTTAAAAAAGTATCAGATTAGATTTATCAGATAATCTAAATTAATCTAATTTATTTAGAGCTTTACAGTTTAATCATCATATATATTTTAAATATCAATAATTGGTTTTAATTATCATAATTAAAGATAATCACTGCAATTAAAAAAAATGGTGCAATTGAATTAAATTGCAATTTGTGGGGTAATTAAATTTCCTTATGATGCAATTAAGTTACAACTCAATTAAAATTTAAAAATAATTATGAGGACCATCTAAAATCATAATATATTTTAACTATTATAATTGATTTTAACTTTTTAAATTTTTAACAAAGTCAAAATTGATTTTGATTATTTTGATTATTTTAAATAGTCAAAAAAAAATAATTTAATTTATATATAATTAGAATGTAATATTTTTAAAGAAGATTATTAATATTTGTGAATTTACTTTATTAGATAAATTTAGTACTATCATTATATAAATTTGTAATTAATTTTCTTGATAAAACTATTATAGATAAACTTGAAAAAAAATTATTTATAAATTAACACTTATTATTCTTTTAATTAATTATTATTTAATTCCTTAAATAATTCTATTAATATAGAAAAAATAATGCTATTTTTAAAGAAATAATATTTTTCTCTTTTAAAACATTCTTTTTTCTTGATAATTTATATAAATATTGATTTTAATATTAGACTTTATTATCATAATCTTTTGTAATAATATTTAAATTATTATTATGAAGAGATTATTAAATTTAAAAAATCTTAAGTTATTTCTAAAAGAAAGAAAAAAATAATATAGAAATTTATAAATATATACTATTTGTTTAATTATACAGTCAGACCTCTCTAAATGCATCCCTTCGGGACTGAGTAAAAGAGTGCATTTAGAGAGGGTGTGCATTAATAGAAAATATACATTTTAACAAATTTTATAATATAATCACTCACCTTCGAATGATCTAATGCTTGAGAATCTGGTAGTTACAAGAAGGTAAGTAATTTAATTGTTTGTTTGATTGATTAAAAAAAAAATATAAAATATAAAAAATATCATAGGACTTACCTCTGAACGATCAATGCTTGAAGAATTCGGTAGCTATAAAAGGTAAGTGATTTTAGTTGTTAATTACATTGATTGATTTAAAAAATAAATATTAAAAATTTTTTTTTTCACATGACTCACCCCCAAACGATCCAATGGTTGAAGAAATCTAGGATCATCAAGTCATGCAAGATTATAATGATACTAAAGAGTCAAGGCCAAAAAAAAAGCTGCAAGATTATAATGATGCTAAAGAGTTAAGGCCGAAAAAAAAGCTGCATGTGTACTAAATTAATAAATAAAAAAAAACATCAAATTTTCAATGATCCTATTATTTTATAAAATAGTCACGTGACGTGCATTTAGAGATCGGATTGTCATATCAAAGTACAGAAAATTTTCTTGCACGTGCAGAACTTAGAGGGTGCATTTAGCCTCTAGTCCCAAGCTTGGGACCAGAACATTGTGTACATTTAAAGAGGGTGTGTATTTATAGAGGATGCATTTAGAGAGGTCTGACTGTATTACTAATTAATAATTTAAAATGTTAAATTTTTTGGTTTTTAAATTTGATTTCTTCTAGATTAACTTCTTAAATAGATATTAATAGTTTATTTAAATTTTTTAATAATATTTAATTATTAGATATATAGATTTTTTAGTTCTATTAAAAGAAAATTTTAATTTTTTTTTGATATCAAAAGTTTTTCTTGTTACTTCAAATATAAATTACTTTATTATAAGCTTTAATAACTTTTTTATGAATAATTATTGGTGATAAAGAATCTTATTTTCTTTCATTTTCTTGATTTAGTAATACTACTTTTAAAATTTTTCATCAGATATCACTTTATCTATAATTTCAGATTTTATCATATTTAACAAATTCTTTGACAGAAAAAGGATTGTCAAAATCTAGTTTATCAATTAATACTTGAACTTCTTTCATTTCCTTTAACTGTTTAAGTTCAAATAATATATCAATGCTAGTTTCATCCTTATTTTCATAATTATTATTAGATAAAATATCTACTTTCATCTAACAATTTTTAATTATTTTATTTTTAACGTTATCCTATACTTATAAAACATATTTTATGCATTTTTAATATTAATTTTAGAGAGTTTAATATTATATTCATTAAATTTATCAAAAGTTTTAACCCAATTTTGTAAATATAGCTTTTGATATTATGTTTAAAATAAGTTAAATTAGAATTAAGTATAAATAAAAGATAAAATATAATAATGTTAATTATATTTTAATTAAAAAATTATTAAATCAGTTACATTTCTTACCTTAAAACTATTTATAATATCTTGAACACAAGGTTGAAGGTATGTAGTGATATTTGAGAGGAAGAATTAAATAGTAATATTAGTTAGATAAGTAGTTTATAAAGAGCATATGTCAGAGTATTATCCATAAGAAGAAGAATTTTCTGGTTTTGTTTTTTATTTTTGTATCAAGTTTTTTTATGTTCTCGTTTCAGATTTCTAACTTTTTGATTTCAATAATATTTAACTAGAAGCATTCTTTTATTAATATTCTTAATAATTTTAGGATTTTTATACTTATATATGAATAAAGGTATTAGTTTTTCACTCTCTGTTGCATTATATATAAGTAAAATCATTACACAATCCTTTGATTATTTTGTTTCTAATATTTGTTTATTAAATATCATTTGATATAGTTTTATCTTCTAAAATAGTTCTATTTTATTATAATTAAATATGTTTTTAGAACTATAATCTTTTAATATTTGTCAAAGATTTTCTCTTATTATTTCAAGATCTTTAAGTGATATACTTGCAGTTTCTCTATGTATATAGTACTATTTAAGGTTATATCATTTTTTAAAATTTTTCACTCAATCATTAGATCCTTTAAACTTATTTTTCTTTAATAAAAAAGTAAAAATCAAGATTTTAGTTAAAGAATATTATCAATAATATGAGATCAGCTTTAAGTATATTATTTACTCAAATTATTAACACTTCTTTGATAAGAAAGAATAAAATTTTCTATCACATTTCAAATTGGCTTAATATAAATTAGTATTCATAGAAAGTTAATAGTTTTTTTTCTTTAAAATGTTACTTATCATACCTTTATTAACATTATATTCATTAGTCAAGTCTTTTGTTTTAAAAAAAGTAATGATATATTTTCAAATAATGTTTTTTTTTGCAGTTATAAGAAATTTTCATTTTTAAAGATTTATCTTGTTTATTAGTAGATTTATTAAATTATTTTTTTGAGTTTACTTTTGGCATTATATAAAGAAAAACGTAAAAAATTATGTAAAAAAATCATGAAATATAAGACATAATATATAATGTGAATATTTATTTATTATTAGTTTATTTAAAACTAAGTACAGAGAACTACAAAATTTTATATAAATAAATCTAGTAAAATTCATTTTAAGCAAAACTTTGTTATATCAAAAAAAAATCATTATAAAACAATTCATTATAAAAAGAGTCATTTTATATAAATTTTTCTAATTTTATATTGTTAAATAAAGTATAAATTTTTAATTAACAAATTCAATATAGTAAGGTTTTTTTATATTTAAAAATCTATCTGATACTAAAAATCTATTATATTGTAAAATTTGTAATATCAAAATTTGCTATAAAAAGAGTTGATTATATCATCAAATATATTTTATCATATTTCTGAAGATGAAGTTTCAGTTGAAGGTAATATATTAATACTATTAAGAAATGGAAAAAAAATATTATATTGAATATTTTAAATGTGATGATATTATTAAAAAATGATATAAATAAAAATTTTATATTAATAGTTATAGGTATTAATTGCTTATTTTAGAATGATTTTTAATATAATATATAAGTTTACTTATTGATAAAATAAAAAAGCTTGCATAGAATTATTATAAAAATTTTGAGGCTAAATGTTATCATATATGTAATATTTAGGATTCTACTTCTATCTCAGATAATGGATTATACTTCTATGATATAAGATGTATCTATATCTCATTTATTAGAGAAGCTAGTAATTTATTTGTAAGTTAGAATACATCTGATTAAATACCATTATATATTTATACATTATGCAATTTTATAAAATTTAAAAAATCACATGATTTTAGCAACCTATCGCCCAAAATAGTTGTAACTTTAGAGTAAATATAATTATAAAAAATGCTATTTTATCTAAAATGTTGTGAAAGAAAAAAATAAAAATTTTTTGGAAATGAGACACTTTATATATATAAAATTATTTTATCATACAAGCAATAGTCATATAGATAATTATATTATATCATTATTATATTATACATATTTTAACGAGAAGTTTATTTTTGTCTCACATACCTGCATGTATTAACCTTATCTTTTTCTACCTCCTAGAATTTTACTTTTACATGATCATAATAAAAATATTTGTCATATTGCGTTATACCCCTTAATTTTTCATTTTTACTATGTATTTAGGGACTTAGAATTTTTTTTAGTAGTAAAATACTATTTATCACACCATTATTCACTGGTAAATTTAGTATTATTACATGTAGTTGTATAATGCAAGCCAGAATGTCACATAAAAATAAAATTTTGTTAGATGCTAAGAAAGTTCATTAACCTTGTAATATTTTGTACGATAAAACAAATATATTATTTTATTAAAATAATATTTAGGATTTTATTCAAAGATTGATCTGAAAATTTAACGTATAAACTCACATTTATCATTTATCTTTGAAAATTTATAGTTATATTATTTCTATAAATAATATATATGTATTTTAATGGCGAATCTCATATAAGTTTTATTTTTGATGATCTACTCTTATATTTTTAATATACTTGTACTTTCATCTCTTAATCATTAAAAAAAAGAAATCACATTAAATCAAAGAAGATACTCTTTTAGAAAAAGAAAAAAAAATATCTGACAACAGCTATGGTTTTCTATATGTGATAGTTAAACCAGTTTTCTAGATTTGCATTTGTGATTTTCTACTTTCAATTTCTCTAACTTTATAAATAACTTCAGTCAATTCATTGTTGATATCACACAAAGATAATTGCAAAAAATAAAAGTAGACATTGTAACTTACAATGTATATAAAGCTAAGCAAATGTAATCTATATCGTAATATTTTTCATAATCATAATCAATACTGAAGTTTACTTTCTTATCCTGATATAATCTACCTAATCAGATATGTTTAAATTATCATCCTCAGATATAGAGATTGGATTTGAGATTCAATATTATTTACTAAATTAGCATGATAATCTACTCTGCTTCTTAATCAACTTTATTCTTGCTTATCCTTTTTGAGTCTTTTCAAAAATTATTTGCATTCGTCTATAATTTCATTACTAACATTTCTTTTACAGCTTGGTATGCATTAATTGTTTTTGATTAAATAGTTCCTTTTACACAATTCTATAATAACAGTTTGATAATTTAGCCATAAACTAACATATGCATATAAAAATAGTTTTTATCTACCTTCTTGCATTCTTCTATAATTTCTTGCTAAAACAGATAAACATTCTATTAAAAATAATGTATAATATAAATAGTATATCATATCACAACAGGAAGCTCTATAACATCTAACTTTAGAAAATTATAAAATAGACCCTGTTGTAATAATGAGAATTAGGAAAATATGTCTATACTCTGGATTCAGATAAATAGCTATTAAGAGGTATTCTTCATTATCACTTGGATTAGGAAAATTTGCCTATATTCTAGATTTAGGTAATATCTATCAAAAGATATTCTACAGCTAACTAAATTAAAATATATTCACCTCTTCTGTGATTGATGATGGTTCAGCTTTTTTGATACCTTCAAAAATTATCTGTATTATATACTATTGAGCTCTTTCTAATCTTCTATTAATAGAAGTATTTTAACAATTATATGATAGGCTGATTTCAAAAATCTCAAGTATAACACAGAACTAGGTATAGTATTGTTAAGTAAGTTTCCAGAACTATTGAAAGCAAAATACAGTCAGACCTCTCTAAATGCACCCTTTGGGACCAAGTAAAAAAGTGCATTTAGAGAGGGTGTGCATTAATGGAAAATATACATTTTAACAAATTTTTATAATATAATAACT